GACACATAACAACAACAACAACATCCCTAAGGTAGCTGTGAGTCATACTCGATTCAATTAACCTAACAGTAACAACATATAGCAGAGCCAATAGGGGACAATGTTTTGTAAACTTCTTATTCATAACCAAACATCCTGAGGGAATGAGCAATTGGTTCTGAGGCATTTTTTTTAGAACCACATTCTCTGGACTCCAATGTCTACTGTTCCGATGGTCTCTTCTGTTGACCCTCTGGAGTTGCACTGCTAACCCAAAGACCATGCTTCTCTCAGAATTTCAATCCACTAGGCTCCACAGAAGAAAGATAGGTGATCTCCTCCAATGAGATACCCAGCATTTATGACCTTCTCAATTGCTTGCTATGCATCTGAAAGTTGGACAATAAATAAAGATGACAGAAGAAGAATCAGTGCTTTTGAGTCGTGGTGCTGGAGAGGAGTATTGAACATACCATGGACTGCCAAGAGAACAGATAGGTCTGTCCTGGAGAGGGTGAAACAGGTTGCTTTTTGGAGGCAAAGATTTTGAGACTCTAAAGTGCATACTTTGGACAGGTCACCAGGTGGAGCCAGTCCTTTGGGAAGGACATCATGATTTGGAATGATGGGGGAGGGTTAAGCACAGGAGAGAAATACCCTGGTTAAGATGGATTGACACAGTAACTGGGGTAATGGAAGTAGGTGTGTCAGGCAGTGAGATTGACTCAGGATAGGATAGGGTTCAGAGCTATTGCACATAGGGTCGCTATGAGTTGTGTTGTCAATCCATCTCATGTGGAGTCTTCCTCTCTTGTGCTGTCCCTCCACTCTTCCAAACATGAGGGCCTTCTCCAAAGACTGGTCTTTCCTGGCCGAAGGATGTGAATGGACTTCAAAACCCTAACCTCCAAGGAGAAACTTGGTTTCGCCCTCTCCAAGATAGACTGATTTGTTTTCTTGGCAGTTCATGGTGTGTTCAAGACTCTTCTCCAGCACCACAATTTGAAGGCATTGATTCTTCTTCAGTCATCCTTAGTCATTGTCCAGCTCTCTGATGCATAGCAAATTGCAAAGACCATGACCTGGATTAGGTACACCATAGTCTCTAGACTGACATCGTTGCTTTTCAGCACTCTGGAGAGGTCCCTGACAACAGATTTCCCAATATAATTAATCTTTTAATTTTCTGACTGCTGGTACCAAGAGTGTTGTTTGTGGAGCTAAGTGAGCTGTCATTGTTAACAACCTCAATCTCTTCTCCATCCATCATGGTGCTGCCAGTTGGCTCAGTGCTGAGAATCTTTGTCTCCCTGATGTTAAGCTTCAATCCATATTGAAGCCTACAGTCCTTGACCTTCTGCAGCAAGTGCTTCATGTCTTCTTCAGTTTCAGCAAACAAGGTTGTGTCTTCTGCATAATGTCGGCTGTTGATGAGTCTTTCTCCAATCCTGATGCCACATTACTCCTCATAAAGTCCTGCTTCCCAAATGATCTGTTCTGCATATAAATTGAAAAATTATGGAGACAGGATGCATCCCTGACATACTCCTTTCCTGATTTTGAACCATACAGTGTTTACTTGCTCTGTCCTGAGGACTACTTCCTGGTCCAAGTATAGGTTTTGCATAAGCACAATCAATGAATGAAATATGTTTTCTTCATTATTTTCAGGTCTAACTGGAAAAATATATTCTTTCCCTCTCCCATACCCTTATTAAAAATCTTTTTTCACTCAAAAACAAAACAAGAAAAAATACAAACCCACTGCCATAGAGTGAATTCTGACTCATAGAAACTCTACAGAACAGAACAGAATTTCCCCAGAGTGTCCAAGGTCACAGATCATTTCAGAAACTAGTTTTTATCTTTTTCCTAAGGAAAAACTGGTACATTCAAAGCACCAAACTTTTGGTTAGATGTTTGCTTAGTTCACGTTTAATCCACTACTAGAGCTCCTGTCTTCTTCACTGTTGTTCTTGTTGTGTACTGTCGGGTCTGAACCGACCCAGAGCTGACTCTCCAGTGGGTTTTTCCAGGCACTTAATTGCTCGGGAGGAGACTGATCATCCTTCTCCCACAGGGCAGCTGGTGGAGCAGCTGGTGCAAACAGCTTCTTGCCTCTAGGCCTAGCGCCTCCTAAATAAGACTTCCTGACCCCAAACAAACATGCAAATGTCATTTCATTGGATAAGTAGATCTCTGTATGTTGAGTTAGCGGGAACTGCTGCCAGCTAGCTTCGCAGTATTTGTATTCACTCCCCCGCCCAACTAGTTTATTTACAAAACTCGAATACAAATTTGAACACATTCTTTCAATTTCCCTCAGCCCTTCACCCATGTACAACCCCATGATTAATCCCCCTCTTCCCCCTGCACATCCACATCCCTCTGCTTCCAGCCTCTCCCACCCCTCCTGGATCCTTATACTCCTTCTACAATAATGATCTTATACAATATTTATTTTTGTGGGACTGAGTTAGCTCACTCTGCATAATGCTTTCCAGTCCTTCCCAAGGTAGGTAATACTTTATAAAGTTATTGCTCCTGCATGCTACATAGTATTCCATTGTGTGAATGTACCATAATTTCTCAATCCATTCATTTGGACATTTGGGCTCTTTCCATGTTCTTGTGATGGTGAAATAATGCTGCTATGAACATTGGTGTACAAATCTCAATTTGTGCCTCAGTTCTCATATTCTCAAGCTATATTCCAAGTAGTGGTATAGCTGGGTCATATGGAATTTCAAGGTTCAGATTTTTGAGGAAGCACCAAACTGCCTTCCAGAATGGTTGCACCATTTTACAATCCCACCAACAATGTATAAGAGTTCATTTCTCGCCACATCCTCTCCAACATCTATTACTTGCTGCCCTGTGAAACTTTTCCACTGTCACTGGAGTGAGATGGTACCTCATTGCGGTTTTGAATTGCATCTCTCTTAACTCCAGTGATTTGGAGCATTGTTTGCTACAAAAAAGGAGATTTTGTGTTTGTTATTTGCATGTTTGGGTTGGGGTTTTTTTCCTTCTAGATTTTTCCTTTCATCCTTTCTAGTTTATAAACTAACTTGATAATGGAGAAATGGAAATTAAACTTTATGTGGAAAAAGTATTATGTTATGTTTTCATAAAAATTTGAATATATTTTAATCTGGAGGCTTTTAGTGTTAATATAGTAACAGTTAAAATTTCCAAGTATCTCCTGTTATGTTACACTGCATTTTCTGTTTAATTTACACAAGACTGCCAGTGGTTGCCCTTACCAGGCTCACAAAAAACACGTACTTTTATTTTCCAGTGATTTGTTTTACAGTTCTTTCTTGGTTTTGTTGTTGTTATGTGCCATTGAGTCACCTGCAACTCCAGTGATCCTCTGTACTGTGGCTCTGAACCCTGCCCTGTCCTGACCTAGTCTCACTGTCTCTGACAAACCTACCCCCATTATCCCACTTGTGTCAATTCATCTCATCCAGGGTCTTCCATCAACCTTTCCAAGCATGATGTCCTTCTCCAAGGTCTAGCTCCTCCTGGCAACATGCTTAAAGTATGTAAAACAGAGCTTCAAAATCCTTGCCTCCAAGGAGCAGCCCAGCTTAACCCTCTCTAGGACGAACCTGTTTGTTCTCCATGGTATATTCAATAATCTCCAGCCCCACAACTCAAGGGCATCAAATTCTTCTTCTGTCATCTTTGGTCATTGTCCACCTCTCTAATGCGTAGTAAGTAATTGGGAAGACCATGGCATGAATCAGGTATACCTTAGTCTCCAAACTTACATCGTTTCTCTTCAGCACTTTTGAGAAGTTCTTGACAGCAACCCTCCTCTGGGGCCAAGAATGTTGACTGTGCACCTGAGCAAGCGGAAATGTTTAACAACCTCAGTCTCCTCTCCATCTATCATTGTGCTTGCAACTGGCCCAGCAGTGAGAATATTTGTCCTCATGATGTTGAGCTTCATTTTTTTTTCTTAGGACTACACTACATTTTGTTGGAATTTTTCAGATTAAATGGAAATTTACAAAAACTTCATTCTTAATATTTTTATATTTTTTCATTATGTAAAATAAATATGTAATACTCTACCCCAACTAGTATTACTAGTTCAGTGGCACTAACTATTCTCACCATGTCATGTAACCAGTACCACTAATTTTTGATATTTTGATTAAATATTCATCTCCTTTGTTGTTTCTTTTTCAGAATGTAAAGAAATGCTGAGAAATAAATAAGGCTCTCTTCGTCTGATTGAGATAACCATAATGGGTATTGGGAAGTCTAAAATAGATCCGTGCCCTCTCTCTCTCTCTTGGAATAAAAGCCCCAGTGTGGATACAAGTCCACAGCATCCTGAACCAAAGGCTAAGAAATCAGAAGAAATCCCTCTCCATGTTAAGGCCAAACAAAGCAGTTCAGCAAAGGAAACAACAGGGGAGCAGAAGGGAGCTGAGACAAGGGAAGAGACGTCTGAAGAGGAGACAGAAGATGAAGTGTTCTTCAAATTTGTGATACTTCATGCGGAAAGTGACATAAATGAAGCCCTCAGGGTTCAGGATCTGCTACAAGATGGCTTTGGTATCAAGCCTGGAATAATCTTCGCTGAGATGCCGTGTGGCAGACAGCATTTACAGAATTTGGATGATGCTGTAAATGGGTCAGCATGGACTATCTTACTATTGACTGAGAACTTTTTAAGAGATACCTGGTGTAAGTTCCAGTTCTACTCATCCTTAATGAACTCTGTCAACAGGCATCACAAATACAACTCTGTCATACCCATGCGGCCACTGAACAATCCCCTGCCCCGAGAAAGGACCCCCTTTGCTCTTCGAACCATCAATGCTCTAGAGGAAGGAAGTCGTGGCTTTCATATCCAAGTAGAAAGAATTTTTCAGGAGTCTGTGTATAAGACCCAACAAAGTCTATGGAGAGAGACAAGAAATGTCACTGAGACAAAGCACACTACTCATGACTGGCTCTTGTAAAATGATTTGTCTTCACCAGTGAAATAGATTTTCAGGAAATTTTTAAATAATAAAGGGTATTGTTCTTACAGAAATCAGTAGCACAATGGAAACTAAAATCCCAACAGAGCAATCTATGGAAATGTGCTTTAAAAATTACACATATGTGTTCTTTTTGGTGAAAATATTTACAGCAAAATATACACTAATCAGAAATTTCTCCACTTCCCGATATATGCTATTGTCACATTCATCACATTGTTAACATTCTCACTACTCTAAACATGTTTTACAATCATTGGTTTTTCATTCTTTTACTCCCTAAAGTCCTTATCTGTGTTTTAGAGCTACTGTTATCAATCTGACCTCATACAGATAATTTTTTAAAAGAGTGAAATTTCTTTATTAATTCAGCCAAACTGTTGTTTTGTTTACAGATGCCTTCATGAGGTATTCTTAAATCAAAGCTAAAAGAAAAATATTTCAGGACAATAGATTTAGAGACTTTCTCAAGTCTTGGTGGATGCAGTAAGTCTGGGGTCCACATTTTTCCTCCTTTTGGTCAAGGTATATCTATTTGATCTTTGATCAAACTGTTTAGTTTTGGCAGCCAGGCACCAACCCTTTGTTCTGGTCTCACAGCAAAGAAATTCATGAAGATAATTAGACTTAAAGTTTATGTCTTTCTCCAATTTCTGCATCTCCTTGTCCTTCTCCAGGTGAATAGAGCTCAATTATTGCATCCTGAGTGGTTTCTGGCAAGCTTTTAAGACCTCAGAGCTCTGTAAATATAGTATTCTTTGATGATTTTATAAACTCAAGACTGTCAAGGTTTAAACAACTTAATGGTTTTTCTAGTTTGTGGAATATGACAAAGAATAATCTCAAAAATATATATATATATATTTTAGTTGAGCCTTGGACAAAAACATGTAGTAGAAGACATTTATTTAAAATATTTGATAATATTTTCATTTTCTGAATTTTGTTCTTCTCAAAGGGCACAGAAGACATTAGTCTCAAGAGATTTGTCTGTCTTCTTTCTTGAAACACTTTTTACGAACATTATCATAAAGCATTCCCATTATTATTGCCTGGAAATATGGATTGTAGAAAAAGAATGCTGAGTGCTGGTGATTGTGATATAAGAAAGATATGGTGGTTACACAATTTGATGGGTGTAAGGAGGGGTGGGTAAAGGGAATGGGAGCGATCTGGTGTGGAAAACAATGTATACGAACTTTGTAAGTGAACTAGTATAAAATAAAAATTTGATTAAAAAATAAAATTACAAAGCAAAAAAAGAGAGAGATATAGTGGAGCTTTTTCAAAGAATCTAGTGAAAACGTACTTCCTTTCTGCTGAAAGTATCCCATTTGATACGGTAATGTTTAGAAATTCCATGGGGCAGTATTGAGTGGTCCCTGAAGCCTGGAGCTCTCCAACTTAGTAACTTAGCTATTTATAACCAAGACTTAGTTTGCTGATCTTTTGAAAGGTGTATGATTGCATATGATTGGCCAGATGGTCTCCTTTCAAATCAGTAACCTCTCTGAGTAAGCCTTTTAAAACTATCTCATACTCAGTACTTCATCTAGGAAACATTTCTCATCTAAGTTCTCAGACTAGCTAAATTGTATGTATGTTTTGTGCATTATTTTTTAAAGACTTTGGATAGCTAGAGATGCCTTTTATCACCTTCTCCTCTAGTGTCCCAGACTCATAATAATCTGGAAAGTCACCAAACAGAGCTCTCCTTTTACTTCCTACCCTCTGTCCATCTGATATTGAGGGAGCAACATCAAGTTCAGTTTGGGATAGAGTGTGAGTCACATTACATTGCAATTGGGATATAGCATTCAAGAGAGTCAGGAGATGTGATTCTAATCTGATCTCTGTCATGGAGCATGATGTGGCTGAGGCAAGCTGCTATCCTTCCTTTTTCTGTTGTTATTGTTGTTGTTGTTGTTAAGTGCCATGGAGCCATAGGTGACTCAGCAACCCTATAAACGAAAGACCTGAACACTTGTATAACTTTCATCCTCTCTCCGGGTTCATAGGATGTCCAGAGGCAAGCTATTTTGGAAGTGACTGCCACTCCTGCTTCCAAGCTTGTTTTAATCGGGGAGCTCCACCAAACACTGTCCACTATGCATAACCATTCTCACATTTGACACATCAGTGTCACAGTCCTTTCTCTGTAATGAAAAGATTGGATTCCTAAAGGCCTTTGTCTTCTCTCAAATGTGAAAAAAAAAATAGGATTCAGAAAAGGGAACAAATATAAAACATAATTTTGTAATGGGATCAATAGTGTAATAGTGTAGGAGATGTTATAATTACTTAAAACTTTAAAGAAAAGTTTTATATGTTTAAAACTCAATTGATTTTAAATCCCATCTGTTATGCTTTTATAGTCCCAGAAGATAATTCTACTTCTTGCTTATTCAGAAATTTTAGAGCATACATTTTGATAGGAACTTGGGAGTGAAGTCATTCTGCCTAACTTTTCATTCTGCATATCCTCTGCTAGTACAAGATCTGAGTACATCTTTCTGAGTCAACCTCTTTATAATCATGAAGCAAAATGTTGTCTGAGGAACATTTTCCAGTAATCAGTAAGTCAGATCTCCAACTCTGTTGGTATTTACCGAAGGAAGAAATTGTTTTTATTGTGTGACATTTTCTTGGCCCAAGATCTCTTCTATTGTATTACTCACTTTTCTTTTTCAGTTTTAAATAATAAATGTTCCCATGTTTTTGGAAGAAGAAGCTTAATGTTCCGGGCATCTCAGATTTCATGTACTAATTAAATATTACCACCCACCCTTCATGCCTGCCAAAGTTGGAGTAATTGATGGTGCATGGTATTTTTGAAAGAAATACCTTTATTCTTTATCCTTGACTAAACTTGGTTTCTAACTCCAGTGAATATTAGTAACCCTCTAGGCCTTTCTTCCTAGTTCATCTTAGTCTGGAAGCTCTGTTGAACCTGTTTGGTACCATAGCAACACACAAACTTCTACAGACACACAAGTGGTGGCTGTGCGTGAAAGGACGTCAGCCAGAAATCAAACTGGACTCTCCCACATGGAAGGCAAGAATGCTACCTCTAAACCACTCTTGCCTGGTTTCCAGTGAAGGTTGTGGAAAAATGTGTTGCAAAGAAGGATCAAACCTGTACTTCTTTACAGAGCATCAGGCACAATGTTCAACCTGACGTGGAATTCAGTATTTTTTTATGATGGAAAAACAGTGTTGAAATGAACAGTTATAAGACAGTATTATCAGACTAATGAAATCAAGGATGAAGAGGGCTAAAAATGTGGGTTTGAGGTTGTGTTTTGTGTGAGTATGTACATACATGTACATAGATATATAAACATGGAGAAATGTGTCTCAGGCTGGGAAACTTCTATTTTGAGGACTTGGTGGGCACTAATGCTATCAGAAGCTGCACATGGACTAAACTGAGTTATGCTTTAAATATTGCATAGGACACGTCCAGCTGTAAGCTGGTGAAATCTAAGGTCATAAGGCATGGAGTACAAAGTAAACTTGTTATCATTTTTAACAGATCACCAATACACTATGACTCAAAGGATCATAAAAAAGTCCACCTCTTATCCTCAGTGTTTCACTTGCGATTCTCCAAGGCTGCTACAGTGTCAGGTGCCTTAAACAGATCCTGGAAGAAGACCTTGGGTGAGATGGACTGACTCAGTGACTGAGGTAATGGGGGTAGGTGTGTCAGAGACAATGAGGTTGGCTCAGGATAGAGGGTGTTCAGGGCTATTTAGGATTGCCATAAATTGCAAGTGACTCAATGACACATAACAACAACATAGACTTCCCCCAAAAAGGGGTGTGTGTGAAATCAGTTGCCATTGAGTCAATTCCAATTCATGTTGGCTCATATGTAATAAAGAGGGTAAAACTGCATTCTCTAGGACTTTCAGCAGATGAGATCTTTCAGAAATAGATCACCAGCCCTTTCTTCTGAGGTGCCTCTGAGTGGGCCAAACAATTAACTATTTGTGCTCAAGGATTCATGGAGTCAGATTGTCTGGACATAATTGTGATCTTAAGTAAGACACTTAATCTTTCTATATTTCAGTGCCCTTATCTAAAAATAAAGAAAATAATAATACCTCCTTGAAAGTGTTATGGAAGAATTAAATAAGATAACATATGTGAAGCACTCACTCAAGTGGCACCTAAACACAGTTGTGTTATTGTTATCTATACACTTTTAATCTGCAACAGGAGATGGGGAAGAAGGCAAAGATGACTTTATAACAGCTTTCAACCCCATTCTAGGAACATTTCAAATTCTTTAGAGGACATAAATTTTAAATAACAAAAAAGAAAGATGCGAAATCTCATCTCAGGATACCGTACCATAGTATCTTAAATTTCTTCACATACATATGAAAGTTAGACTACAAATAAGGAAGACCAAAGGAGAACTGATTCCTTTGAGTTGCAGTGTGGGACAAGAGTATTGCATATACAAAGGACAGCCAAAATAACAAATATGCTTTGGGTAAAGTGCAACCAGGGTTCTCCTTAGAGGCAAAGGCCGTGAAACGTCATCTCACATACTTTGGGCATTTGATAAGGAGATGCCAATCCTTAGCAAAAGACATCATGCTTGGGAAAGCAGAGAGAGGGCGGTTGAAAGAGAGAAAGACCTTCTATGAGCTGGATTAAGAGAGTAAATGCAACAGTGAACTTAAGTTGATAGTTATCATGAGCATGGCATTGGATAGGGCAAAATTTCAATCTGTTGTTCATAGGACTTGCTTTGTTGTTGTTAGGTGCCGTCAGATTGAGTATGACTCATACTGACCCTACGAACCACAGTATATAAACCCTGTCCTGTCCTGTGCCATGCAGTGACTGTGTCAATCCATCTCATTGAGGGTCTTCTCCTTGGCTAACCTTCTATCTCCTCATAGTTCACTTAATGACACCTACTGTCAGCACCAACACACTGTCAAGTCTTATGCAGCAGAGTT